AGCTGGCGTCCCAAACCAACTCTTAACCAACGTGCCACTTGGCTGGCCCAGTACAACTTTTTTTTTTTAAGGAAAAGGAGAGCAAAAGATCCACAGACTCCATTTTCATCCACCACATCTGTCTTTCTCTGTTGATTTTCCAGCACTCTTTGTCTTGGCAAAGACATTTACTTGGGCAAAGGCAAAAATGTATGATGGACCACAGAACTGACTCCATTCCAAGGTGAGGTCACTGACTGATGTCCTCCCAGAGCTTACACCACAGAGTGCCTGCCTCTTAGGCATTTATTTCAAACCCACTGGCCAGGTAATGTATTTCATTTTGTTTGGGGGAATGAGCAACAAAGCCTCCTATTACCCAAGGGAACTTTAAGGCAGTCCGAATGCCCAGTTTTAGCTAATTCTTCCTTAAAACAGTAGTTGAATGTTATTAAATTACTGAGTAAATACCGAGGGAAGAAAAACAAAGAAGATGCAGCCCATGCCCTCAACAATCTGGTTACGACACAGGCAGAATGACATCAACAAGGTGTAAGGAACTAAGCCATAGCAGTGCAGGGGGGCTGAGGAGACATGAGTTGCTCCAGGTGGGATCAGAAGTTGTCTCAGTAAGACGCGGATGCAGAAGAATGGGAAAGAGAAGCGAGTGGGCAGAGCACAGAGGGCCAAGAGAGTGAGCCATGTTTGCAGCCCGATGAAAGCCCAGAAGGTAGGAGAGGAAGGTGGGGTGGGGGAGGAAGTGGGAAGGGGAGGTTTGGGTCAGATGGTAGGGTCATTAATGCCATGTGGAACGTGCCTTCATAGGGCAGGCAGTTTCTGAAAGCACTGTCTGTAAAAATGACAACTCTGTTTTGGTCAGGTGGTAAAAGGGACGTTAGTTTCTGTAAGTCAGAGCAATAGGAAACTCAAGCCGTCCTAAATATTCTCTATTTAAAGAATGTTAAGGGTCTGGATAAGCAAGGGTTGCTGAGAAACCTACAGAGGAAAATGAGTAGAAGTGTAAATACCCCCTCCACACTCTGAATTCCCAAATAGCACAGAAACAAAATACAGTAGAGGCAGGTCATCTTGAAAGAAAATGCAAGGCTTCAATTCATTCCAGGCCCTTTTGATTCACAGGGCAATTCACAGGCCCCAAATACAACCTAGTAAATGCGGCACATTAGCAAAGAAAGCAGTTTTGAAGATATCTCTTAACATTAGCAGTACTCGAGGTCTTCAATACCTTTGCTGGATCTCTTTGATGTCTTCTTGTTTCCTTCCGAGGTAATTTCAATCTCATCAGGATTACCCCCTTCATCTTCAATTGCCTAAAGGGAAGGTAAAAAAAAAAAAAGCTCACCAGAAGTCAGCACACAGACTTGATTTTCAGAGAAGCTCCAGGCTGCTGATTTGAAAATGTTTCCCGCTACTCCTTTCACTCATTCTCTTGCTCTACACCTTGGAGCAAGGGCTCAGGAGTCAGAACTGGTAGTGTCAGACTGACTCTACTAGTTCTCAGCTTTACTTAATTGCACCAAGTTTGTTTTTTAACTCTGGAACATGGGGCTAATAAAAGTACTTGCCCTGAAAGGCTGTTGTGAGAACTCTATTATGTACGTAAAGCAATCACTGAACAAACATTTGGCTTATTTTTAACATTATCACCACAATCTGGTTCATCCTATCCCTGGGCTCAAGGGAACTCAAAAGAGAAAGGCCACTCTCCAATCTCCTATGACTGCACCCAGCAATGTGCTGTTCGACCTTCTGAGACCCCCCTTCTCCATGCCACGCCTGCACCCACACTGTCTGGAAAGAATACTAACACTCACTGAGTTTCTACTCTGTGTGGCATGGGACCAGACATGACATGTATCACCTTATCTGATCATACACATCTGACTGACTCCAAAGGTCTTGCTCTCAACCACTAGGGGACCCGCCTCTAAGAATACAGACTTATAAGGAGGTCCTGGCAAGCCCAGCCTCCCACCCCAAGAGCTTGTCATTCATTTCAACAGCCCCCACCCATGCTCAGCAAATCAGTACTGAACATGTCAAAGACATCCCGGGATACTGGGCTTCATGTTTAGGTTTTACTAGTAATAACCCTTTCTCTCCTTACTGTGAGCATAATTTTCATTTAAACCCACTTCAAATACTGTGTTTTATTTGTAGACAGTTTCTCTGGAGTTTTCCAGTTTGGTAAGTCTAAATTCATTGGGTTTTCGGAAAAGTTATGCCATGTTTTTTCTGTTTTTTTGTTGCAAAAATGCGTCATGACTTTTCCGACAACCCAAGAGAATGGGGTTGGGGGAGGAGGGAGTGTTCCACACCTAACCTGTACTGGGAGCAAAGAAAATCTCTCCCTTCTCTCTAAAGCCAGAGTCAGGAGTTGGAGAGCTCTGCCTTGGGATCAAGGAACAGACAAGGAAACCGCTCACCCTCTTGCTGGAGGCAGACAATTCTGGAACACCACTAAACTGCCCCAGACAGGAGGGTATATTTCACCCTCAGTATGTCTGTATGTCTCTTCTGGGTGCAGTGTTCACAGGGTCATCCCTAGGGGGACTGAGGGCTCTGAGACATCCTTATAGGCCTCAGCAAATTACACTCTGTTCTCTCTTTTCCTCTTTTTGCCCTTCCTGGAAAAATCAACAAAGGGACACAAACTGGATGACAGAAGTGAGAGAGAGAAAGAGCAGCTCAGTAATTCCAGACCTGCTTGGGCAGGACAGGAGATGTGTGTATAGGCCGATGTATTTCTGTATTGTGGCTACATCCTTAAGAAACTGAAAGGAGGGAAAAGCAGGGATGGATTTGTCCCCTCAGAGACGACAGTAATGGAAGATTCCTGAAGTCCCACACCAGTCTCAGCCACCGACCGGCCTGACAGGAAAGCTCAATACCATCTTATCAGTTTTGCAGGTTTTTGGAATGTCTGGGGTAAAAAAAGGGTCCCCCCTCCCCTCCAATTTGGCTTGTTGATAGGAGACCCTGGGGGCAAAGAGCAGGGACCACATCTCCCCAAGTGCCAACCCTCACTTTCCTTGCATTTTCCCAGGTAACCGTCTTGGTTGATGAGCTGCCTGCCCAGACTAAAAGAAGTTGGTATCCATGGTGAAAGAAACGCAAGCTCAAGTTAGAAAGGCCCCCAACTGGCTCTGGGCATAAGTCATGACACAAACCCAAGCTTCCTCATCTGGAAAATTATAAGTAATCCCTACTTCCTCTTAATATCAATTAATGAATAATAAAACCCCAATCTCCAATTGTTTGGGAGTCAAAAGGGTGGAATAAAGGACCAACGACACTGTCTGCAGGGGGGGAGGGATGAGTAGGTGTCCCAGCTGAGAGGGTCCCAAGGCAAGAGGAGCTAGGTGGGGAAAAGGCAGAGAAATAAACCAACAAGAATAAGGAAAATGTAAGGGACACAGACATTTCATGTTTTTCACACATTGTCCTTAAGAACCCATCAAGGTAGGGATTAGAGGCCCCCTGTTGCAAATGAAAACACGGTGGCCCGGAAGAAAAGTGAATTGTGACAACGATCATATCCTCAGTGTTTACATGTGCCAAGCAACATGCCATGCCTGTTTCATGAATTTCACTTAGTCCTAACAAGAAAGCACCATTTTTAGTTTTTCCTTTTTACACAAGAAGAAACAGGCTCAGAGAGGATTAAACGTCTTCCATGCCCAAGAGCAAACCACTGGGACTTGGCAGAGCTCCGAGGCCAGACGCAGTGACAGAGCGCACACTCTGCCTGCCTAAGTCCTGAAGCCATCTCGGCGTCCTCCCCAAATCTGTCTTTTACATTTTTTCTGGTCGCTATTGCAAACAGCACTTTCCCTTCCGTGTTATTTCTCCAAGCTAGTGCTGGAAAACCCCTAAACTGTCTTTTTCTCCTTTAAGTATTCTCTTGACATGTTTACTTCATAAATTAACCCCCTATTCAAGACTCGTTGGCCCTTAAGGGACAAGGAGCTTTCCCCTTCTTAGAAAACATCTCCGCGGCAAGCGCGGGCTCAGGGAAGCAGCCGGCTTGGATTCAGATCCCGTCGCCTCCCCTCCCCGGCCGTGTGACCTTGACCGAGTCCGCTACCTTGCCTAGAAAGTGAGGGTTTCAGGGTTCCCCGTCCACTTTTGGAAACCGAGAAGAGACAATGAGAGCAAGGCCCTCGGCGAAGTGGCTGATGAGGAAAACAGAAGCCTTTGGTCGATGTCACCCGCTACCTAGAGATGCAGAGCACCAGCGGCTTCCACCGTTCGCATCCAGATTTTGTTTTTCTCGCTCTAATGCGGCGCAAGGATTTGAACCTGGGCCGGCCGGGCTCTCAGCTCCCGCTGGGGCCTTGGAGAAGCCAGAAGCGCCCAGCGCCAGGCCAGGCGCAGGCCGCAAACGGGGCCGAAGGCGGGGGCCCTGAGGCCCGGGAAACTCTGTTGCGGCCGCGGGGATCCCCTGACCCAACTCCTGCCCATTCCCAGGGCCCCGGCTTCACCTTTCTGAGCCTCTCCATCAAAACGCTCTTGTTGCCGCTAGAGTCCAGATTCCGTTTCTTCAGCTCCGCCCGCAGATCGATCACCCGCAGATCGCTGAGGCGCCGCGTCCCGGTTTCTGACGAGGCGGAGCTCAGAGCCGCTGCACCCACCACACCCGAATCGCCTAGGCCTGAGAGAGTCTCCGCCATTCCAGGGACCCTGGCTCCGCCACCCACTTCACACAGAACCGGGCCGGTTTTATCTCGGCTTCTAGCACAAAATGGCGCCGCCTGCCAGAGAACCGCTCCAGCCGCCCCAGCGCGCCTAGCTTCTGCGCAAGCGCACCTGGCGCAGGACAGACGCTCCCGGTCGCGTCTGCACATGCGTGGTGAGACCGCTGGACAGCTGTACGCAGGCGCGTTGCGTCTCACTGGCCTCCCGCCGCGAAGGGCCGGGACGCATGCGTGCTGCAGTTACAGCGCCTGCGCGTTGTGGTGGGGAATGGAAGGTTGTGCTACGCGGTAGCCGGCTTGCTGCTAAGAACGCTGGTAGGGGCAGCGCGCATGCGCGGCCGGAAAGCGGGGAGGGAGGAAGCGAGTGCGTTTTCCTCTTAGGCGGCGCCATTTTGTGCTCAAAGCCGCTACAGCCCCTGGCGGTGTGGGGAGTAGGTGGCGGAGACGGGAGACCCGGGATGGCGGAGACTTTGGCAGGGTCCGGCGACTCGGGTTCTGGCACGGCCGCTGTCGGTCCGGGCGCCTCTGAGGCCGGGACGCGGCGACTCAGCGACCTGCGGGTGATCGACCTGCGGGCGGAGCTGAAGAAGCGGAACCTAGACACCGGCGGCAACAAGAGCGTTCTGATGGAGCGACTCAAGAAGGTAAGGCGGCTTGGGGACCCGGGGTGGCGCAGGAGGCTGGGGCACGCCCCCGCGTGGGCCTGTCACCGCGACTCCTGCACCCGGACGTCCCCGGCCCATCCCAGTCTTGGTCGACTCCCCGCCCGAGCTGTCCGGGACCACGGGGCCGGGCTGTGTGACCTTGGTCCGTCACCGCCCCTCTCTGTTTCTTGCCTTCTACCAGCCTGTAGCCTTAAGTGGCTGACAGCCGGCCTTCGTAGCCACTAGGGTGGCCCCTGGACTCCTCCCAGGGCTTGAGTTGGAGACTCTGTTCTGTGACCTTGGACAAGTGCCTTCCCCTTACTGCGGCTCAGTTTCCTCTCCTGGAGAACAAATGACTGAAGGACCTTTGAGATCTTGCAGAAAAGGGGGCTGTTCTTGTATCTGCCCCCAGAACCTTTGCACTTATGCCCTTCGCGGGACTGCTGTTATCCGAGGTCTTCTGGCAGACTCCTTGTTGTCATTTTGGGTCTGAGATGTCACCTCCCGGACCACCCTTCCTAAAGTGCAGCTCCACCTCCCTTCTTCCCTCTTGTTTATGTCCCATCTCACAGCACTTAACACAGAGTTAAGTACAGGGGATAGGTGTCTCCCCAACCAGAACAATCTCCTTAAGGGTAGGGACTTTGTGAGTTTACTGTTGAGTGCCTGCTCCTGTGCCAGGGACAGTGAAATACCTCCCTGACCCAGTATGTTTGGTGTTCTTCCTCCCTAGAGGTCAGAGGTGGCCTTTGGAACACCACTCAGCCTTTGGCCCATGCCAACCAAGTACAAACCTCTGTTTTTATGTTTTTAACTTAAATTAGAAGGTTGGGCAGTTTCAAGGTTAGGGGCCATTTTGAAACTGGTCATTGACCCCAATTCTGGAGTCCCAGCCCACACACCCCTTTGTCTTCTGGGCATGGGGCCCAGAGAGAACCAAGTTGCACTGGATTCATCCTGTGCCTTTTGGGCTTGCATCCCACATAGCAGAACCAGACTTGGTTTTTGCAAGGAAGGGTTTGCCTTTGTGTGCTAGGAAGTTATTATTTACAAGGAACAGTATGTGCCCTGCAGCTCTGGATAATGTAAAAACTCATCTCTTCCTGACAGGCGGTTAAGGAAGAAGGGCAAGATCCTGATGAAATTGGCATCACATTGGAAGCCACAAGCAAGAAGACAACAAAGAGATGTGTTAAAGGTATCCATCCATCTGTACTTACTGCTGTGTGAGTCGTGAGTGTGTGTTTACAGAGCTTACTTAGAGAACTGGTTTTTTAGCACTCATTCTGTCCAGGCCAGAAGGAGAATGTTTTTGGCCCTCATTGTCCTCCATGTAATAATTAGGTCTGCTCTTCACTAAATAACAAGTACCGTATTTCCCCATGTATAAGATGCACCCTTTTTCGAAAAATTTGGGGGCTAAAAACTGGGTGCGTCTTACACAGTGGTTGTAGATTGTTGTCAAGTCATTTAAGAAGTGTGGCATTTCAAATGCCATAGATGGAACTGAGGACAAGGCAATATATGAAGACAGTGATTCGTCATCAGACACAGATGAGGACAAGCTAATGGTTGGGAGTTTTGACAGTGATGAGTAGTGGTATGAATTTTATGATGTATAAAATTTGAGTTCAATAACTTTATGTAATACATTTTTTTCAAATTTTGGGCCCCAAAATTAAGGTGTGTCTTATACATGGGGAAATACGGTAACTCTGTCAAGGGTACTGGAGGAGTAAAGAGATGTGCAGGCCCCAAGTAAAATTAAAGTAGGTATTAAAAGCATCCCAACTCTTGTCATTGGGATTAAAAAAGAACTAGAGTAAGACACACTAAAAGCTGCTCCAACTGGTTTGAGCAATTGAGTGCACCTGCTTGGCTTCCTACCTGGTTAAAAAAATAGGACTTAAAACTAGGAAAATGGGGCCGGCTGAGTGGCGTGTTGGTTAAGAGTTGGCTCGGGACGCCAGCTCTGAGCAGCAGGGCCCCAGTTCGGATCCCACATACAATTGCCAGTGACGCTGCACCCTCTACAGCTAAGATAGTGAACAACAGCTCGACCTGGAGCTGGGCTGCCGTGAGTCACCGGCGACGGCAAAGGCTGCAGTGGGGCAGCCCAGCAGCTGTCGTGCACTTTGAAGAGCTGCCGTGAGTAGCCGTCCAATGGCCGGCGAGCGACTGCCTCACCCGGGAAGAACGCAATGATAATACCAACATGCGCCAGTGAAGCAGTGTCCTCCACAGCTAGACTGAAGAACAAAAGGACAGCAACTTGTCTGTTCCCCTTCCCCGATTCCCCAATGCTGTTCCCCTCCCCCAATTCCCCAATAAAAATCTTTATAAAAACCCCAAAAAACTAGGAAACTGACAACAACCCAAGACTAAATAGAATCCAACTTCTCTAGGGTCCAAAATAGATTGTTGGAGTCTTTACACCTAGCCTATGTTTTATCAGTGTGTTGTTTTTGTTTTTTTTTAATATGAGGTATAACTCACTGTAAAATTCATCTGTCTAAAGTAGTCAATGCAGTGCTTCTTTACAAGCCTATGCAACTGTCACAGTATCTAATTCTAGAACATTTTCATCACCCCAAAAAGAAACCCCCAGGCCCATTAGCAGTCATTCCCCATTTCCCCCACTCCCAGCCCTTGGCAATATCTAATTGACTTTGTCTCTAAAGCTCTGCCTATTCTGGACATTTCATATAAATAGAATCATACCGTATGTGGTCTTTTGTATCTGCCTTTCACCAAGCATTATGTTTTCAAGGTTCATTTATGTCATAATATATATATATATATATATATATATCAACACTTCATTCTTTTTTTATGACTGATACAAGTTATTTTTGGAAGGATTTAATTCCATAAAACTTTGAAATCGTGCTGCTCTCATTGGCTGTCATTCTCATTATTAGATTTTATAGTGATAGGGACAGTATAATTTGAAACTGTGTGATGGACTCGTTTTCTTGAAAGGTACCACACAAAACTTCTCACAGCCGCACATGTCCCATTTATCTGAAGAAGTGTTCAATTCAGGCAGTGGAGGACAGCTGCTTAGCAAGTAAAAAGAAATTAATTTGTAGCATTTTCAATAATTTCAGTTTACTTTTTAATAGCTTTTCTTAGGACTTTTCCATAACTCATCTAACTGGTTAAAACTTATACAGCACACTTGTTTTGAAAGGTTAAATTTTTTTTTGCGGGGGGGGAATCGGGAGGGGAACAGACCCATCACTTCACTGGCCCATGTTGATGTTATCCTTGTTCTCTTCCCAGGTGAGGCAGTCACTCGCCGGCCATTGGGCGGCGCTCACGGCAGCCCACTGCAGCAGGGGCTGCAGCCTATGCCATTGCCGGCGACTCACAGCTGCCCAGCCCCAGGTTGAACTGTTGTTCACCATCTTAGCTGTAGAGGGCACAGCGTCACTGGCCCTAATGTGGGATCTGAACCGGGCCTCAAAGCTGGCGTCCCAAGCCAACTTTTTTTTTTTTTTTTTTGGGTAAAGATTTTATTGAGGAATCGGTAAGGGGAACAGACAAGTTGCTGTCGTTTTGTTCTTCAGTCTAGTTGTGGAGGACTTTGCTTCACTGGCCCATGTTGGTATTATCATTGCACTCTTCCCGGGTGAGGCAGATCGGTCACCAGCCTCTGGACAGCCGCTCATGGTGGCTCTTGGCAGCTCACACTGGCTGCCAGCCGCTCACGCTGGCTGCCAGCCACACACGGCAGCTTATGGCAGCCCACTGAAGCAGGGGCTGCAGCCTATGCCATCGCCAGCGACTCATGGCAGCCCAACTCCAGGTCAAGCTGTTGTTCACCATCTTAGTTGTAGAGGGCAGTGTCACTGCCCCCATGTGGGATCCGAACTGGGGCCCTGCTGCTCAGAGCTGGCGTCCCAAGCCAGCTCTTAACCAACGCGCCACTCGGCCGGCCCCCAAGCCAACTCTTAACCAATGCACCACTCGGCCGGCCCAAGGTTAAATTTTTAAATTAGGTTATTTTACATTTAAGTTTAATTTTAAAACATTAATATGTGGGTTTTTGGGGTTTTTTTTCTTTTTTTTATTGGTTTCAGTTGTACAAAACAGTGCAATAGTTATACTTTTTACCCTTCACAAAGTGACAACACCCCTCCCCCAATCCGCTGCCCTACTCCCCCCCCATATTATACATATCTATTACAATTCCATTGACTCCACTCCCCACACTATACATCCCATGACTATACATATATTAAATTATAGTTGACATACAATATTATTCAATGTCAGCTTCAGGTGTACACTGCAGTGGTAAAACCTCTACACCGTCCATGAAGTGGTCTCCCTAACAAGACGTGACTATCTGACACCCTGCAAAATATTTACATTATTAATTATATTCCCCGAACTGTCATTCATATCCCTGTGGCAATATTGTAGTTACCAATACTAATCCCTTCCCCTTATCGCTCATTCCCACCCCCCTCCCATCTAACATTAACATGTTTTTGCTGCTCTTGTGTTGGTCCATATTTCAGCTATAAATACTGAATAAATGAATACAGACTGAGGAAGACTGGTCCATAGCGGGGAACATACAAATACTTCTGTGTGCTTCTCTGTTAAATTATCCATGGTCTGAAAGTCTGTTTTACGATTGCTGTGAAATGACTTACTATTAGTTTGAAAGTTTTTAATGTAGGTGCTCATTTAAAACTGATGAGGTTCAAGACTTACTAATGCAAATGTTCTTGGCTCCAAACACGGGATCTTGATATCATTAGACAAACTAAACCTTAGTTGGGTGCTTCAGAAACCTGTCTGAATATCTAGATCAAAGCTTGGGTCAAATCAAAACTACTTGGAGTTAGCCTTTTGTCCAGGAAGCTTTGGTAATAGTTACTTCCATTGGTACCACTCTAGCACTGGCCCCCCTTCCCCTTCCTTTTCCAGAGAAGTCACCAACGCCCAGAGAAGGAACACGTGGCCAAGGTCAGGGGAGAGGACAGCACCTGCAGGTGGTTGAGCTAGCATGTTCTTTAGAGGTGTCTGAGCATGTGGTTAGTGATATGAAGTGTTAGACCCCTCTGGTCCTTGAGATTATGTAAAAGTGATTAGGAGGAACTAACCAATCGTTTCCAGAGTCTGTGCCACAAAGTGGGACTAATTTTGGGAATTCATGAGTGACTTGCCTTTCAAAAGTAAAAAGTACCTAAATTTAGAAAAAACTTGCTCATTGTACTCAGGACAAGAGACCTCTCTCCAAACTCATCTAAACAGGCAACATTGTGGATGTGTTTTTGGGTGTGGTGGATGTGACTTGTGGGTGTGTTTTGAAAGATTAAAATTTTGAATTAGGTTTTGTGTGGGATTAAAATTGGATTTTCTAGTTTTCTGTCCTGTTGTTCTCACACCCCCATTTCAGCTTTCAGTCAGTGGAGACCAAGCCCTTGGGATGGGGGTGCAGCCTGTGCTCAGTGTGTGTCATTCCCACTCTCATTTCGGGCGCTTTTTGATGAAATTTGAGGGTGTACATCTCTCCTGTTTACATCCTGTGTGGGCACTGCAGGCTACTATTTAGAGGCCTAGAAATTGGGTGCAATTGTCAAACATTTTTAGACAGTGTATCTCAAAAGCATATGCTGGGTTTAGATATAGTCGGAAGTGGTGCAGCTGGGTTTTTGAATCCCAACTTTGTTCCTAAACCAAATTCTCACGTGTCAAGTGTGGATAATAAACCTGCTAGCGTTGTGGTATTAAATAATATGATGTAGAGAGCAGTGCCTTGCATGTAATAAAACTGCATTTCTTGAGTGATTATTGATGATAATAGTGAATGAAATACTTAAGGTGTAGACACTGCAGTTTGAATCTTCAATAAAAGATTGAGGTTTCTTTTTTTTTTAAATTGGGGAATTGGGGGATGGGAACAGCGCTGGGGAATTGGGGTAAGGGGAACAGACAAGTTGCTGTCCTTTTGTTCTTCAGTCTAGTTGTGGAGGACGTTGCTTCACTGGCCCAAGTTGGCACCATCATTGC